GTCGTCGTCCTTGGTCTGGCAGCGAGTTAGCTCCCTGTGGCCAGCCTGTCCTGGGGCGATATTGAGGACGCGCGCCCACCAAAGTCCCCCTGGATAACGCTTGGGCGGGGGGGTGTTGTACACGTACACCTTCTCCAGGTCCTGCCGCAGCGTGGTCTCCACAGGCGGCGCTGGTGCACGCGTCCCTCCGAACCCCTGCCAATTCGAACCCAACCTGAGCCAGTGTTCCATCCCCTCGCGTATGGATGGCTGGCGGTTACCCAAGGACGACATGCCTTCTTGACAAATGTTCCCGATGCTTGCTTGGGGTGGTGGGTGGTTGTGTGAGGCAAGTCGTATAAGCAAGCCACGAGGGGGTACGCCGATGAGCTCGAGGGGGGGGGGGATTATTTGGGCAGCTCCGTACGTAATGATTACCGATACCGTTCGTTGGCTTCCCGTCTACCTCGATGAAAAGCGTCACACCCAACCAATCACGCAATATTTTGTGGCGAGCTCTTAATTGTGCTTTGGGATTAATTCTGAGGGGTATGTTGGGGGCTCACGAGTGACGCCAGAAAACCCCCCCCGTCCTCCTGTCCCCTCCCCCTTCTTGGATTTCTTGCAGACTCCGTTTTTGTTTTTTTCGAGGGTTGTCGGCGCCCCCTAACCCCTATGGTTTGTTCGATTTCCGTCCATGTAAGGATCTGTCACGTAGTGAAACACACGCACGAGCGGATGTTTGTGAGAAGTACAAAACCTTAACCAGGCATCGTTCAAATCAAATCAAGAACAACTAGGCATCTTTGTTGTACGTCTCGTTTGATGTAGGGGGGAGGGGGTGTTGTCGTCATGAACACGAGGGGGATGGGGGTGGGGGTGGGGGTTGTCTCCAGCCCTGCCGTTGCCTCCCGGCTCCGTGCAAAAAAAAAGCAAGGGGGGTGGCAGCACAAAAAAATCTTACCCACCAGCAACGAGGCAGTTGTCGGTTTGTCCTTAACGTCTGGCACGGCATTCGTCTTCCGGAGACAAACTAACACGCAACACTTTTAGGGACCTGTGTAAGCGCAAGCAGCCAACGGACTCCCAGGCAGCTGTGTGGAATGCAAACGAAAAAAAAAACAATGACGAACTCCCCTGATCTCCAACCCTCCCCCCTCATTATTTTACAGCATGTTCTGCTAGACAGCGTCCTGCAGATTAGGAGAGTAACCCTCCAACATAGTCCGTACTCGTCTGTCCACCCACCCTCGACGGATGAACGGTACGGCGCGAGAATACAGGGACATGGGTTGTAGGAACAAAACAACACCACGCACACCCATCCGCTCGCTCGCCTCTCGATTTTTTTTTTTGCGATCATGACCCTGACACCCATCCTCTTCCAAGGCACTCCTTGTGAGAAACAGCCATTCCCCCTAGTAACTAAAGCTTCCACGTACTTCGTACAGAAATGCAAAACCTCCAGTCGTACCTACAGAGGACCGGAAACAAAAAGAAAGTCAAGTCACATAGCGGGCCTCTCTGTCGCTAAACTACTTCATCCGAGGGACGTACAACATCTCGTGAATGGTGTCGACCACCAGGGACGCAGTGCGCTGCGTGATTTTTCCTTCGCCGTAACGGAACAGTTTACTCTCGAATTTCTTCGAACTGGCCATGCTTATCATACGACGCAGGCTCGGGAACTGTTGTTCCACCTCAGCCCTCTGGTCCTCCGGCACGGGGGGCACCACGTCGCGCCAAAACGAACTGTAGTCCTCCCAGATGACGGATTCCCCGGCAGGGATCCGATCGTAGTCCGGGTTCATGCTCTGGACGAGCTTCTTGTGCTGCGCGCAGAGAGCGAAGATCAGACCCCCCCCCACCCCGTCAGAGCGACGACAACAGGGACAAGGGCCGTAGGGAGGA